GAATAGCTGAAACGCCTTACAGGAATAAAAGATGCAAAATAGAATGAGGCATGCGCTGGCGGATCAACTTATTATATATGGTGGTGATGAGCCTAAGACGTTAGCCAGGAGACCGACCGTTCGTTTTGGATCTCACAAAAGCGAGCTCCCGGCTGGGAATCCCAAAATTTGCATGGAGCAGGGGCAATTGATCATTTTAAAGGGCCGGTGGGGTTGGTGAATGTGCACCACTCTCGTTCATTCATTGTCTGTTTTGTTGCATTTTTCAGGAAGAATGGCAACGTTTCCTGAGTCGCAGCAGGAGCAGCAGCAATCGATGTCGTTGTGTAAATTTTACGCTCGAGGAGCCTGCCGTAATGGAGCGCGATGCCCGTTCGCACATGTAGCCATCGATCGTAGCACGGATGCTTCTCCGTACCAGGATACTACTGCTACTGCAGCTGGCCATGCCAAGATCCAGGTTACATTCGCACTCCCACACACACCCACACACACACCCACATACACCCACACACATACCCACACAAACACTCACACACACATACACCCACACACACCTACACACACCCACACACACACCTACACACACACACCTACACACACTCACACACACACCTACATACACACACACACACACCCACTCACTTAAACTCTGTTTCATATCATTCAAATTCGTCTATTAATAAAATTCAACTCAGCTCGACACACTCACACATGCTGCACTAGTTTGTGAGTTAGGCAGTGAGTTGCAAAACTCATAGTCATTGCAAAAGTACCGGGTTTTTTGTAAGGGTGAGATTTTAGGCGTGGCGCACAATTTCAGCTTAGTATCAAGTTTTTTTTTGCTCAGCATCATGCAGTCCCTCCCACTTAATCCCTGCCTCTGCATCCTGTCCTTACCTCCGAGCAGTGTTTCAGCTCCTTTCCAGTCAATATCTCCAACCGGTACGCTTCGTTATGACCCTTTGAAACTTAAACCGCCACTGCCGCCCTGTCCATTTTTCCTTCCTACTTCCCCTCAATACCCCGTTATTCGATCGGACACATCACAGCCATTACAACTCGCTACACAATCCAACCGAGCCAAATGAGTTAGTGTAATTGCCTCGAATTCGCCGGTGCGCCTCAGCTGATGTCTGAGTCTGAGTTCCGGGCGATGTCAGAGTTTTTGACAAATCAGAAAAATCACATTCGTGTATAATCTTTGTCAAGAAAGTGCCATACCTGTAACCAAATGTTATGTCGCGAAAATCGCAACTGCGGCATGTTTTCACGTGTTATTCGCTCTCAAATTCATTTTTTTTTTCCTTAAAACCTTTCCACAGCTATATTTTGCGCTTTTTAACGTAAATTAACACTTCCCAGCGAAACTTTACGTTACTTTCCGGCTAAAATTCCCCTCCGCAGTTTTGCGTCTCAGTTTCTGTTTTTTTCTATTTTTATTTTTGCAATTTTTCTCGGCAAGCTTCTGCAAAACGCAAGTAAAAAATTGCTTTTTCTGAGAGCCGCAATGAAGATTGACATCTTGGTGTAAAACGTACAATATACGAAAACTAGCTTTACGGCTTTCCATATCGTAAGTGCAATTCGCATGCCACTTTGACGTAGTTTGCTTAGGAAAAGTGCAACTTGACAATGAAACAGTGTTGAAACTTCCATTTCCTCTCTTCACATTTATCCATCATTTTTCACTCCACCGCCGCTCCCCGTTTCCACAATCACCATTTCAACCCATCTTTTTACATTCCTCTTTTTTCTGAAACAGACGCTCTGTTATTTATG